GTGAAAACAATGAAAAACTCCGAAAATGACGTTTTTAAATAAATATTTTTTTTTAGCCTTAGTTAGAATATAGATTGAACAAAAAAAACTGGTTCTTTCTAATTGGTGTTTATTTGAATAATAATCAAGAAAAAATCCATTTATATTGTAGAAACAATGAAAAAAACGAGAAACCAAGTGGCAGTTCTGAGTTTTCTTCGTACTACGCTTATAAAAATGGTTTAAATGTGTTATTGAAATAACAAGTGTACAGGCAATATAGGCTAAGTACAACACATACCCTGTCTGAGTTACTCGAATGTATTGCCGTTGCTAGCTTGTGATAAAAGTTCACATCGAATAGATTACGCGGAGAAAATGAATCCAATTTTTACTTGTTGATTGATTAGATTGCTAAACAAATTATCGATCATTCGAATGAATGCTCCTTCTTTTTCTCGCAAGCTCAGAGTGGTCGGCAAATTTATTAACAGACATAGCAAGTGTACTCATCGAGTAGTACTCAAATATAAGAGAACCGTTACGGAGTCGATTTTCTGGAGAAGCTCGACTAATGATCACTTTTCCTCCAACCGAGAATGGTTGACGGTAACTGACGTCATCATGGTTTTCTTTAAGTATCTGTGTCGTGATTTAATTACAAGGATTTCTTTATTTACACATTTTTTATTCACAATTTGCACCCTTGGTTAGAGTGAAAGTTGAATTTATGAGTAAGTTTCATAATATTGCGTGGACATTAGAAACGAATAGAGTTGTGAGTACATCAGCGTAAAATTACGATACACTAATCCATTTGGTAATACTGACAAAAATTCACAGCTGTGTGTTTAGCTCTATCTAAAATCCACGTGGATCCATTTTCCGATTCTTTCAATGCTTGTATCATACTCTTAGCACATTCTTCCGCTCTGAAATATCAATTGATTTTTTGAAAAATACAACTTCATAAAAAAGTTCAATAAATTCTTACGTTTGACTCCCATATTCTGCCATTATTCGGTTATATTCCTCGCCACCATCATAAGTTCCGAACATTTTCGGTAATGTGTCTTTCAACAATTCAGTTTTTGTACTACCCGGGCATATAAGAACAAATTTTATCCCGAATTCTGAAGTCAATATCTTATCGGAAAGTGATCTTGTGAATGCAACCACTCCGCTCTTACTAGAAGAATATACGGGACATCGATGAAAAGGGTCTAGGCCTGCAACTGAAGCGACATTCACAATCATACCTCCGTGACCACCATTTTTCACACTCATTTGATCAATCCCGATCAAAGTACTATAAATCATCCCACACTAAGAAAAATATGAACCTATGAAAAGCTTATGGAATAAAATATTGGCTTTGTATTGAAAACGTACGAGATTTACATGAATTGTGTCTTCAATTTTGGTCTCATCACAAATTCCCACGATATTTGCCAACACATCTACATATCCAAATGTCATGACTACTTCTTTGAATGCTGTCTCAATTTCGGTCTTGTTGCGAACATCAACTTTGTGAAATAAAATGGCTTTATCGCCGAATTGCATCTTCAGTTTATTGATTTCGCTTGGATCAGCAACATCGAATACGGCAATTTTCTGTGTGAAAAAAAAAAAATTTTTCGTGATATCCTTTGAAAAGTCATATTTTATGTATATTTACTTCAACTCCGATAGCCAAAAGTTCCCTCACAAAATTAAGACCAATACCACCGGTGCGAGCTGCACCAACAACAACAAAACTCTGTTCTTCAAACTTCATTTCGTGAAATTCACTGCTTGGGCTGATTGCTTTTAATAAACTGATCATTCCAACTGTAATGCAACCTCTCTTATAGTCTATCATTTGCAATTAAATTCTTAATTAATGAAAAAAATGATTAAGTTGATACAATGTACGTTCAGTTATTAGGCACAATAATCACCACAAATTAGCATTAATCGAACTGGGATAAAAGTTATTTTTTCATTTAAATACAATACATTCGTTTAAGGCCAATATTGTTTGTGTCTAGTTTGAGACGCAAAATGAGTGATAATTGTGTCCGGCGTCGGGATGTGAGATTACAATTACAAACCTGATCTTTTTACAATGCTACAAATTGACCAATCATGAACCCACCTACATTCAAATAGTTATAAGTTATAATTAATCGATTATTTTAATGACACAAATTGATATGACCAATCATATGAACCATATATCTGCAAATGTCAACGCTTAATCGTTAGAGATAGCGCATCTTTTTCAAAATTTAGTTTTGTTGAATGACTGGAATTATCCACTATTTTCAATACATTATTATGTGCTGTTATAATAAGTATTGTGGGAATTCGGTAGAACTTTCTGCACGTAATTTCACGTAATAAAAGTGTTAAATACGTGAAATATGCGCTTATTTTTTGTGTGCAGGTGGTCGATCATTCAACGTGTTTCCATATTTTCTACCGTTTTCCGGGGAATATCAATATAAATACACATAATCATGTAACAAATGCAGTTTAGTATTAAATTATAAATAATCGCAACGATGTTCGGGGAATTGCTTGCAGTTTGTTCATACAGAGAACGTTTCAGTTAATGTTGAGCTTTTGAAGTATTTAGTATAGGTAATTTTCCCAAGAAAAAATATCGCAAGCCATGAATATTGCTGTTATCACAATACTCCGTGAAAAACCTCCGAATCGGCGATGAGTTCCATCTAGACGGAAACAAAGCATTAATATCGTTTTTAAAAGGGTAGCAGTCGGCGAGGCATGTCTTATTGCTGATTGGAATTTTTGTAAAAATGTTCGACTTGAAAATGTTTCGATGATTCATATTCGAAATTCGGCCTTCACCTCTTCAAAGAAAATAAAGAATACTATAGAACTTTTCTTGAAAAATGAATATGAAATACAAAAATTACAGATTTTTATCGATTGTATTTGATATTAAACTATTGCATGGTAACACAGATAGATTCTTTAGCCTAATTGTGTGATATTTTCATCGATTCGGATTAAATCGACTGATTAAAGAGGTTTGAATACAATGTGTACTGCGCATTGATTTGTTTCTCCACATTTATTAAATGTGACTAGTGTGAGGGAGGTCAACTGACTACCGACTACGATGATTGTGTGGTAATTTCAAACCAATTGCTATTCATATACATAGATAAAATCCAATCGAGTGTAATTAGTAATATTTATTATGAATCAATGAAAGCTGCAAATTATTTACCAAAATAAGTTTCCGTTCATAAAATTATAAGTACAAACCTCATATTTTTCATAGTACATAAAAGATTCAAATTTGATTTTTCTATGCGAAACCAATCGTATTACCACTAAATAAAAAAAATGCAATAAGTTTAATTCTAATTTTCAATTGTTATGTCTTTATTGCTTCAAGAAAGTTTCGAAAATGGAAGGAGAGGTAAAATAGTTTAATATCAATTACATCGAATGACCAAAATTGCATTCATTGAACCATAAGTCTTATTTTCAATGAATTAAAATGCATAACAATTTATAATGTTCAATTTTCTTGATCGTAATACATTTTTTTCGTGGGTTTCGATAGAGTTTCGTAAGCAACGTTTATCTTTTTGAATATTTCCTGTTGCTCATGTTTCTCTTGCTCCGATGCATCTGCATGTTTATCTGGATGATGAATTAATGAGAGTTTGCGGTATGCTTTCTTAATATCAGGTGCAGTGGCAGTCTTTGGAATATCTAATATGTCATAATAGTTGTTTGATCGAGATTTTGCTAAGTTCATCTTCGCATCAATTAGCATCGTTCGGTCCATTGTAGTGTTTTCAAGTCTTACTAACTCCTCGTAATCGTTAACGCATTTCGAGAAATTTCTCATGTGCTTATAACTTTGGGCACGAATACGCAAAGCTTTAGCGTAGATGGATTGGTCAGTTGACATTGCTTTCGTACAATCTTTGATTGCATCACGAAGAAGTCCAATTTTTAAGTTGGCTGAACCCCGATTGTACAATAAATTTGCAATAAGTTTGTTATCTTTCGGACACATTTCGAGAGCTTCAGCGAATTCTCCAATTGCTTCTCGATATTGTTCTCGTTGAAAGATTTCGTTAGCTACAGAAATAAAATTTTGTTAGAGAAATAAAATTTATTTTTTTTTTTAAACTAAAATTACCAAGTTTTTCCTTCTCCCCAAAATTCTTTACATTTCGGAGCAACGATTTTGCTTTTTTATGATCCGGATCCAGAAGGATTACATTTTTCAAATGTTTGATTCCTTCCTGCCAATTTTTATGGTACCAGCATAAGGCACGGATATAAACGACATCTGCATTTTTCGGATCGGACATTTGGCATACTATGGCGATTTGCTCTGCTTCCTGAAATTAAATAAATTCATGTAGAATATTACATTTTCAATTGAATGCCCTATTTAAGATTTATTGTACCTCATAACGTTCAAGTAAAGCAAGGCATTCCCCTTTCAACAATTTAAATTTAAGGCTTCGATGTGCACTTTTTAGTGCCAAATCAATCTTAGAAACTGCAAATAGAAAATCAAAATCTAGTATCATCGGAGATTTTCCGATTAAGTTGACTTACGTGCAGATGAAAAATCCTTCTTGTTATAACATTCCATTGCCTTTTCCTCTAATGCTTTTAAATCCGTACATTCTCGTTTGTACTTGTTAATGACATAATCATTTTTCGGTACAAATTCGAAAGAATTTTGGATAGTTCTTTCAGCGGAAAAGACATCGCCCAGTGCTATATACATTTTGATTAGGCCATAGTGACCTTCACAGTGACTACTGTTGATTGTCAACGCTAGCTTATAAATTTCAATGGCTTTATTGTAGTTTCCCATTCTCACGTAACAAGCGGCTTGTTTATCGTAATATGAAACATTCTCTGGCCACAAAGCAATAGCATCGTCATAGTCCTTTAATGCGAATGGCATGTTATTCAAAGCGAATTTCTCATCGCCAGCACGTTTCTTTTCACTTGCATCTTTGTGCCTCTGTGCCATTTTGATTTTTGATTGAATATCGTCCATCTGTTGGCTATTGATTCGTCCATTGCTCAATGCACTCTTGTAATCTTTGATGGCACCATCAAAATTATCAATCGATTGATAGCATTCTGCCCGGATTAGGAGAGTATCAATGTGATTCGGTTTGATATTTAGTGCTTTGATACAATCACTGAGCGCAAGATCGTGTTCTAACAGATTAAGTTGTGCTGAGGCCCGACTATTCAAAATTTTAAACACAAATTCATTTTTGAATGATATATTTTCCAGTACTTCTGTGTAACTTGCAACCGCTTCACGATATTTTTGTTCAGCAAACAAATCATCTCCTAAGATACAAGTTTCAAGTTAAGTTGAGAAAATATGATAAAAGTTGTAATGAATACACGGCGCACCATTTGTTTTCTTCTTGATAATATTTTTGAGTTTTGTTTGCATTAATTTACATCTGTCATGGCTGGAATCATCTTCAAGCCCCTTCGATAATTGCGATAAGGCCTGTTTTAAATTTCCTTGATGGTTGAAACAGAGGCATTTCAGATAACACCGATCGGCATATGCAATATCCGGCACAACTTCCAGTTTTCGTATTTCCTGCGATTTATAAAATGTATACATAGATTTTCATGTCTTATGAGAAGGCATTTTTCATAGGAGTTATTATACCTCGAGTTGACCAAGGTGCATACAATACTCAGCTTTCAGCAATTTGAGATGCACACTTTCGGGCAAGATATTTAAGCCTCGATTAATTGCATGAACTAAAAAAAAGGTTATCCATTATTTTGAAAGAATTCTTTTTTAAAATTTGAAATATATTCAGTATACCTACCTGCAAGCGAAAATCTCTGACTTTGATAGTTTTGATTGGCGACATTTTCAGATTGTCTTAACCGAACGCACAAATCTTTGTATTTATTGCAAACTGTTACATAAGTGGGATGCTCTTCAAGTTTTTTATTCGCTCGTTCAGCACCATCATAGTCACCGAGAATTAAACAACACTTAGCCTGCCGCTCATATGCAAACCCACAATTTGGATTGATAGAAATAATACGTTGACAATCTTGTAGAGCCCGTTTGTATTCTCCCATTCGAATTAAGCAATTCAAACGATTTTGATAGTAAATTACATTGTCTGGCCATAATTCAATCGCTTCTGAAAAAAATTTCTTAGCTGCATGATATTTGAGTGATGAAACTAGGCGTTTTCCGGTAGAATTTTTATCTTCAGCTAGTTTTCGTTGCATTTCATTTCTAACACTTTCGAGTTTTGAGCTCACTTCATCGAGTCTTTCAGTGTTTTCTTGAATTTCGGTGGAACTTTGTACCGACTCGTAATCTCGAATGCATGCTTCAAAATTCTCAAGATAATAATAGCATTGGGCTCGCAGCAATTTACAATTGATATGAGCTGAATTGATGGACAATGCCTTGGTACAATCATCGATTGCGTTACGAAAGTTTCCAGTCTTGGAATTGGCGAACGCACGCTCGAACAAGAGCTCAAAGGTGGACATCGTGTTTAATAGCTTCATATCGAGTGCTGTAGTGTAAATTTCAACCGCCTCTGAGAACTTTTTCGTCTCAATCAAGACTTTGGCTATAAGAAGGAACAATTGTTTCGGTAAAAATGTTCATCACGCAAAATAAGTGGTTACACTATGTAAATATTCAACATACCCGTTTCCAAATATCGGTTCAAGTTTTCGACATTCTCTCGCATCACCTTAATTCCACTATGTTTCACGTCCAATTCGTCAAGCATTGTTTTAAACTGCGTTAATACATCATTTAAACCGCCAAAATAGGAGCATAAAGACTCCGAATTGTCACCATTGATTTCAGATTCTTTCACGTTCTTGTAATGATTACAAAACACGTTCAATCCCTATAAAAACAAATATAAACTCATTTTTTTATAAAATGGTCTAATAAATCAACATTTCAATTGGGTACCTCAATCCGATTCATAACCCCATCAGAAGAAGTATGAGCTGTAGTCAATAACAATTGCAACTCTGAAGTGGTGTCATTATTTTGATCTTTGGAATCTAAAACAAATAAATTCTCTTATTGAAATTACAATATGCGACAACCTGAGAGTAAGAGTTAAACATATGGGACATTTGTTCTATCTCAGTTTTAGAAAAAACACTCTATTGAACTATAGGTTTAAATCGTTTTTTTTGGGGGTGTCATTTTATCGTTCAAGAAAAGTCTAACAAAAGTCTGATTGTCATTACCTGGATCGGGCTTATCATCTGAGTCATGTTGATTGACTGTTTTCAAATTATTTGCTTTTTTATTCATTGTTGATTCTTCCCGCCATGGTACTATTCCATTTTCATTCCGTCGGCTTTTTCCATTAGTACCATTTTGGTCTATTGATTGAAAAGAATATTATGAAGGCGATATAATTTATTCAAATGGTTTAATAGCATTGTTCAAAAAATGAATATATTTTTCGAAATTCAATGAGTACCTTTTGATTGATGAATAGCTGCAGTTGGTGGAGGGGATTTGATGTCCGCCAATTTTTTGTTCGATTCAATGCGAGCGTACGGCTGAAATAGATTATTATTTTTATCATATGTAAACCAGTTTGGTATATAATGTGTTACATACATCACCTCCCCACTTAGACAGACTGTAATTTTTGATATACCAAAGTGGATCACTGTGCTGTGCTTCGATTAAAAAATTCTCTGAAACGACTTGAATGTTGTAACTCTTGGCGATAACAATTATTCTTCCCATTTTTTCCAGAGTTTCTTGATTGGAAATTACAGCTGCCAATTTTCTATGTATTCTGCTCACAACCTTTCCTCCCATCCTTTCGACAATCCTTTCGATTTCTTTCCTTTTTGCCCAACTCTCAATTGCCATGAATTCCATATTACGCAGAGGTTGGCTGTTGTTGCGCGCTCTTGAAATTGAGAAGAATAAAAACAAACTAGAATACGCCGGGTCGGCGGTCAAACTATTTCTAAAAAACTTACATGGCGTTTGGAACAATGTCTACTCTTTTCAAACCACATTTACTTGCGGAATTTGACTTTATCACCCTGTTTGAACCAAGGAGAACATTTAAAATTATCAAACGATTTTTTTTTTCAAATCTATTCATTCCGATTCATTCGATGAAAAAACAAACTTACGAGAACCGCTTCTTGATAAATTCTTTATCCTCATCAGTTAGTTTTTGGAAACCAATTATGGATTCAGCTAAATTTAGCCACTTCAGCTTTGATCTCAGGCGATCAAAACAACCGACGTGATACAATTTCGAGTTTACATTTTCATTTTCATCATTTGACACGGCTTCGAAACGCATTTTACCTTTAGCTATATTTCGTTGGCATTCGGCACACGATTCTTGATTAGTTTTTACATATTCAACTTTAACACTGGTCATTTTAACCATATTTTTCGATTCGTTGTCGTGTCCACCTTATTTAAAAAAAACCAATACAAAAATAAATTCAATGAACATGGACTTGGGATTTGTAACCAGAAGAACGAAGAATTGGACGTACCTAATTGGATTTTTATTGCATTTTGATCATGAATACGCAAATATTCGAATCCACTGAATTCCGTTTGAGTGGCTGGGCGGCGAATCTTAAAAAAACAATTGCTATGATACCATTCCGGACGTTGAAAGCTGCCCTCATTTGACTAGAGATGAACAAAGTGAACGATAATGAATTTCATCCAGAGAATTATTTCAACATAGATATATTTAAAATGCTGAGAATTCATCTAATCACAATTCAATTCTGTATGCTGGAATTATTCTCTGATTTCATCATCTCTGTATGTGACTTATCAGTGATCACTGTTTGGATTTCATTGAATAAAATATACGTATTCACATTGGTTATTCAAATTCCATCAGCGTGGCACGTAATTATTATGTATTGAATTTTTTCTGTCAATCCCAGTTAAAAGATCATGTAAGATTCCGATAACAAAGTCGGAATATACTTTATATCTCGTATATCACTGAAAAAATTTATATATTCTTTTTCCAAAATAATAAATATACATAGAGACTACTTTTCATGTCTTATAGTATACTAATCCAGTGGTGTCCAAACTTTTTTTTCAGCGTGGCCACTTCGGTGGCCACTTCGGTGGCCATGAGATCGAGCCAAGTTTAAAAAAAAAAGAAAAATGTGCATATTTAGAACAGGAAAATTCAATGAACAAACTACTGATTTTATTGTCATTGCCACAATGTTGATCTTTCTATCATTTTTGTCTTGCAAAGCAAGAATTTTCAAACGGAATTTCGTGGCCACAAGTAGCCAAGTGGCCAATAGTTTGAACAGCACTGCACTAATCCCAACAAATTTACACACAACACTGAACTAGCGAATAACAATTCTTGCAAAAAAAACCGATAGAAATTATTAAAATGATGAATTTAACTCAACACAAAATTGATGCTACAGAACAATATAAGAGATCTCACCGGGACCAGTATTGCAATCCGTAAAGCACGTTGTGAAATTCGCTTTTTGCACCTTTCACAGTCTCGGTCGCCCTCAGAATATTCAATTTTGTATGGCAGTAATTCGTTCATTTCAAAACAACATCTACTTTAAACTGATAATATGCAAGCAAAATATTCTCAGTAGCTTATACACGTTTACGATTTATATTCGCGTTGATTAGAGAGGGGAGAAGAGAGATTGACAACAAATAACAAATGTGACACTTGTTGCAGGGCGGTATAATACTGCTTGAAATATAAAAATCCAAATGGATAGGGAGAAATCGTTTTTGACGTTTGTTCATACCAATCCGTTGCATAGATTGCATACTTATGGGCTTGATTTTATATAAATTGTTTCTTTTCTCAAAGGAACTTCCATTTTAACCGATGTCATGAATATCTGGCTTTCGAGATAACAATCAATTGCTGTAGATGTTAACATAAAAGCATGCCAACTTTTTTTACGAAAATTATTTCGGATTTTTTTTTGAATAATTTAACGATTCGATTCAGCGAGTTAAAGAATGCATACTTCTTTTGAATGAGCTCAGTACGATATCACCTGGAAGTCAGTCTCTCCTAAGGCACTAATTAAATTTAATACGCAAAAATATTTTTATAAACCTAAATTATTGACTTCCTCAGTTGTTGTCATTGTTGTTGAGCTCATATCGTTGAAGAATAAAGTTTTTTTATGCTAATTTCATAAGATTTTGGAATGAAACATGAAATAATTCTCACGTTGATTTTTGCCTCTGTGTTGGCAATTAATTGGGTTAACGGATTTTTAAAATGGGACATTAAAACGGAATTTATTTGCTACGAAAAATTGGTTCAGCTCGTTTTGAGACTCAATGTCTCAATTGATTCATGAGAAAACATTTAAAGTGATAATGGGAGCTATCTTCAAACTGACGCCCTTTTCATACTTTTCACCGCGTGAATGATTTCTTTTTTTTGCTGGTAATGGTGCCATATATACACACCAAGAATATGCCCAGGAATAAAGCAAGCAAACCTCCACAAACTGTAATTGTTTGCATTTTCACTCAGCTCAAGATTTTTTTTGTGAGTCACTTTTCCAGAATTTTTTTTCAGGGAAATTTCGTTAAACAGAAAAATTGCATTGCATCAATCCGTCTAGCGATTCAAATATCAGTTTTTTATTCATGGGTTTTTGAACAGATCAATGAAGCTTTGATTCCCCAGATCAATATATCTTTTGGAAAATTATAGAAACTGCGAATAATGCAGTTGAAAACAGCGAAAAGAGTGCACCCGTTAAATGCCAATGACGAGAGTAGACGTAATTGAAAGCTGTTGTTTATTTCACAATGATTTCAGAGACTTTTAAACGTATTGACAATGTATACATTGTTCGACTATAGCGTCATTGTGTATTACTACTGAGCGAGTGAAGTATAAGCGGCGCCAATACTTATATACCGAACTACACACATGAAACAAGTTGCGAATGCGGCTATACGAAATCCGCGAACACACATAATAGCGGTCTAGTGTAAATATTCATTTGTATGGTGCTGTTTTATGCTAAGACCAATACTCGTATTGTTCTCTCGAAAGTCGTACGCATTTCATCATTACGACTGAAACTTGCAAACCGAACGCAGTAAACCGGTTTTATAAAGTGCTTTGTTGAAAAGTGGAAAATTTAACTATTTCAAAAAAACTCATTGTATCAACACCTAACATTTTGAGTGAATAATTGGAAACTAAATTGAAAAATAACTAAACCTAATTGAACAGCGTCAATCAATTAATAAAATATCCCGAATATCATCATGGGCAAAAAGAATAGTAAGTAACAAGATGCATTCAGAAATTGTGTCAAGATTATTCTCAAAATAGGAATTATTTTCTGGCATATTAACATTTTTATTAGAATATATACATATTTCGAAATCGAAATTGTGATAATTGTAATAAATAAAAAGGAATATCAATATATTGAGCATCTACTGTGCTACTGAAACTATTGCACAATTTTTCTGAAAGATGACGAAATTCATATTTTTTTCACGCGCAATATGAGAAGATGACGCATAGTACTTCATAAAGCAATGCAAATGCAAAAACAAACGAAAAAAAAGTAAAATTTATTGCTCGTAAAATAGTGGCAATTGGCCTGGTTAGAAAAAATGAGTCATTTGAGACTGTATGCATTTTCTTATCTCGACAGTTACTCCAGTTAATGTATGAATTTCATCACTTTTTTTGTAAAATAAATTGAAAAGGTCCAGCCACACGAGCAACAACGTTATCACTTTTCAATGTAATGTGTCGACAATGATGTTGATCGTGTGACTGCAGCGTATCATAATTCACGGCATTACGTCAATATTTAAATGGCTTTTTTGTGATGGAAATTTTTAAAATTTCTAAATCATTTTTAGAAAATAAAAAGAATGCGAATTCTACGCAAGAATCGAAGCAGACTCAGCAGACTGCTCATGCTCAAAGCCAACAACAACGGCAACAGCAGCAACAGCAACAACAGCCTCAACAGCAGCAACAACAGGCTCAACAGCAGCAGCAGCAGCAGAGTGCTGTTCAATCTCAGCAGCAAAGTCGAACTCTGCAACATAGTGAATGGCCAGTGGCTGGTGGGAGTCAAGTTGGAAATGTCCAACAACGAGATGAGGGAAAATCTAGTCTGAAACGGAATGGGGATGGTTTGCAACAGCATCAGATGCAATGGCGCACTGAACAAAAGGCACCAACTCAACCGAAAAATGTTTGGCATCAACAAGAGAAAAACCGTTCGCAAGATCAAGGCCAATTGACACGACTCGATAAACAAAATCAAATTCAAGAAGGTACCTGGTCTCAGCAATCCCAAAGTACTGTCCAATCCAAGCAACATAGCCGACCACATCAGCAGCAAAGCGAATGGCCAATAGCTGCTGGAAGTCAAGTGGAACAACCAAGATCGACTGAACAAAAGCGGCAACAAAAACAAAAACAGGCTGTTGTTCCATCTCAGCAACAAGTTCGATCGTCGGCACAGCAATATCAAAGTGAATGGCCAGTGGCTGGTGGGAGTCAAGCTGGAAATGTCCAACAACGAGATGAAGGAAAAACCAGTCTGAAACAGCATCAGATGCAATGGCGCACTGAGCAAAGGCCGCCAACTCAACAGAAAAACGTTTGGCATCAAGAACAACAAAAGCAATTCCGTTCGGAAGCGAATCGAGCACAATGTCTACAAGATCAAGATCGACATGATAAACAACATCAAATTCAAGAAGGTGCTCGGTCTCAGCAACCACAAAAAAGTGGATTTCCACGAGCTGAATCCACTCAAGCAATGCAACCGAAAAAATCAGCGGCCGCATCAGGTGGCGGCACTAAGCCGCAACAAAAGCGTCCTGAACTTCCAACGATGGAAGAACTAAAACAACAAGGAATCGACCGACTAACAGTCAAATATAAAGGTCACGGCACGCGTGGCCGCAACCTTGGCAAAATCGAAACGAACTACGTACCATTATCTTGGGGATTGACAATACCTGATTATATTTACCATTACGATGTGACTTTTGATCCGGAGCGACCAAAAAAATTACTTGGAAAAGTGTTTACAAAATTTGTCGAGACAAATTTTCCGGCAACCAATGTTTTCATTGTATTCGATGGTGGTAGAAATGCATACGCTTCTGAACCACTTGAAACCACCAATTTGGTGCACGAGATCAAAATAATTCATCCAGAAACGGGAAAGGAAATGAATTTTGAAGTAAACATTCAAGAAGCAAATAATACTCAAATTGCATTTAGGGGTCCATTGACAAGGTAAGTGATCCCATCACTCAATCGAGTGATCTCTTGGATATTATTTTTTCAATGAAACTACTAATTTATTACAGTTACCAAGATCCAACGGTCGATGCAAAACGAGCTTTGCAAGGCTTAGATGTGATTTTGAAGGTAAAACACTTGTTTCATCCTTTCATTTACATCAGTTCATATGTAACTTGATAATTTTTTGCACAGGCTGCATTTCATCAAAGAGGATTAGAACGTGGTGTTGTTGGTGGTCGATCATTTTTCTTGCCATCTGATATGTTGACATCACTTAGAAACGAACGGCTCTATTTGGGCGATGGATTCGAACTTCGATTGGGCCTATTTCAAAGTGTGGTGCTTGGTGATGAACTGTTTTTGAACGTTGACGTCAGCCACAAAGCGTTCCCGAAGCGTTATGACAGTTTCATCGATCTACTGAAAGATATGCGATTGCAAGATCGTGATTTTAAAAGACCATTGGAAAAAAGGATGATAGATATGATTTCCAAACAATTGTCTGGATTGGATATTTGTTACACTCAGCCGGGCTCGGGTTCAAAAACAATTCGGAAGTTCATGAGCATCGAGGCGAAGCCATCTTTGATGACATTTGATGTTAATAACGTTCCAACGACTATTCTAGATTATTTCAATAGTCGCAGAATGAGAATTAACTACCCAGAACTACCATGTCTTAAACTTGGCAACAGAGATCATAATATAATTGTTCCAATGGAATTCTGTTCTATATCTGATGCACAGGTAGAAATAATCCGATCTTTATCCTATTTATTTGTTCAGATTTAAATTTAAAAAGTTTCGAATTCACTCATTTCAGGTGACGAACAAGAAATGTAGCGACAACCAAACGCGCAATATCATCCGCGTTGCAGCTACCACTACCGACGCACGAAAAGAACGCATAATGGAACTGTTGAACAAAATTAATCACAACAGATCGGCCGCTATAACGGGTTTTGGTATGAATGTCGGTAATAAGTTCGTTGATGTTGCGGCCAGACAATTGGATCCGCCGAAGATTCAATATAAAAATTCCAAAGTGATCGAACCAAAGAATGGAGTTTGGAATATGTTTAAAGAGGAATTTCTGCTAACCGATCAAAAGCCAGCAAATGGTTTAACATGGGGTATTTTAAACGCTGATTGCTCGACCGATCAATCTACAATAAGAGAACTGTGCAATATGGTGAGTTAAATCAAGTCATTCTTTTACACAATTATCTACAGTTTGTTTCCATGAAAATTAGTTGCACCGAAGCAGTATCTCAGTTGGATTGTGTTTGGCAAAAGATCCTTTGTACATGAATTCGGTTGTTCGAAGTGATGAAAGATTTGGTGAGATACTGAATTGATTCGTATTACATAGATATCGATTTTAATTCTTTGGATCAGTTCCAGACGATGGATTGGGGAAACGTGTTCGAGGAGAATTGCAGATGATTGCCGAGGAAAAGGCGATCAGGATGCTGTTCTGCATCATACCAGACAGAGGTCAAATTTATGGTAAAATCAAGAAAATGGCCGAAATTGATCACGGAGTATTGACTCAATGCATGAAAAGTAAAACAGTTAATGAAACTGTTCAAGATAGGCGAAAAGGTGGTACCACCATATCCAATATTTTGCTCAAAGTGAATGCAAAATTGAACGGCACCAATCATAAATTGCAAACGTGCCCAATTTTGAATGGAAAACGGTGCATGTTTATTGGAGCCGATGTCACTCATCCGTCGCCCGATCAGAAACATAGTACACCAAGGTAAAACTATTTTTTGACTATAGAAGAATTCTCAAAATGATTAATTTAAATATTCGAATTTGAAATGATTTGTATTACAATTGATGCTTGATGCTATGATTCCTTTTATTTTTTAGCATTGTCGGTGTTTCGGCATCTTACGATTTAAATGCATTTCGATATGCATTTTACTGGCGACTTCAAGGCGCACGCATCCCATCTAAAACCGCTTTCAGGGTCGTTGAAATAATACAGGACTTCAAAGAAGTGATAAAAGACCATCTTAACTTCTACAAAAGCAAAAATGGTGTGCTTCCTGACAAGATTTTCTACTATCGAGACGGTGTCTCCGAAGGTCAATTTGATCAGGTGATGGCTATCGAAAAAAGTGCCATAGATCAAGCCTGTCGTGAAATCGAACCAGGTTATGAGAAACGTAAAGAGCTAACCGTGGTGGTTGTTCAAAAGCGACACCATACTCGATTCTTCCCGATCAAAGATGGTTTCGGAAAATTTAATAATGTTCCAGTTGGCACCATTGTTGATACCAAAATCATTCGTCCAAACGAGAATAATTTCCTTTTGGTTTCGCATCAATCGATTCAAGGTGTTGCCAAGCCAACGAAATATTGCATCCTATTGGATGAGGGAGACCATTTAATTGACGATCTAGAAGAGCTATCCAACAATGTAATCATCTACATTCAATAATTCATATTTGATTTTAATTTTTCTTAAGCTTCCAAAAGACTTGCTTTGAAACTTATTGGACATTTTCTTTGTTTTTGATTTGCAGCTCTGCTACATGTTCACTCGATGCAACCGAGCCGTTTCTTATCCAGCGCCAACATATTACGCACACTTGATTGCCGCTCGTGCTAAAAAATACGTTGAGTACGTAAAGATTTGTGCTCGAAATGCATTTCAACCTCGGTCTATAATTGTATATTTTATTTGATTTCTTTACAGAAACACAATCAATTTCGAACAATTGGATTGCAAAAATGCCATCAAAGCAAATATTATCCGTGACCATCCGATGTTTTTTGTTTAAACATGAATCAGGACAATCTTCTTCATTGACGTCATTCGGAACGTCGTTTTTATTTTCAATTATTTTACCTATTTTTCTATAAACCAAAAGTAAATGTTGGCATTAGAACAATTTATAGGCGGTTCATATCTACATATTTAACGTTACTAACACATATTTTAACCAACGCATATTTTATCAACCTTAACAATTAATCATGCACATGCGTACCTAAACCCAATCTTCTTTAACACCAGAAAAAAAATGTAAAAATTGGAAAAAAAGTAAAAAAAAAATTTAAAAAGAAAAAAAAGTCATTACATTTGTGATGACAACCCAAAATGATTGTTTCATTTTAAATATCCTACATAAAGATGAACTGTTGAAAAAAAATTGCTGAAATTGACATACCTCAACAAATGCTAATGTCACCTGTAACGTAACATTTCAAGAGAATATAGTTTTCTAATATAGTTCATTTTTTACATATTAGTCCAAAATTAAGGCCTTTTTTTTAGTTTTGAATTAGACCACACATTTGAACATTTTGAAGTAAAATATATAGCTATTTAAATTATGAGGCTTCTTTTTCTTTCTTATTTATTTCGATGGGAAAAGACTTTTTTTCTCTCATTTAACATAATTTTCGAAGAGTTCGCTTTAAATGGAATACAGTCCAACGTAAGAATATAATGTGGATAATTTTTTTTACTTCATTCAATTCTATCATAAAGGTGATGACTATCACAAAAATATAGATGAGTTTAACTCGTACTAACACGAAAATTTAAATCCATAATTTTGTTTTATAAAATCTCAGTTTGAGTGGAAATAATTAACCTTCTTTATGAATTTTGTTTCAATTGAATTTGGTGATACGACCAGTGAAAATAGCCGTTTTGCTTTCCTTGTCCCAAATATAATAAAAATTAAATTCAGAGATTACTATGGGATATTTTTATTCATATGGGATAAAAATATCGCATGAAAATAACAGATATTTTTCGCGCGTTGTGCTCAGCGAAACGCATTAATACACAATAGCGATTCTGCACACACAGAGTCGCTGTTTTTTCGTTAAACACTTCACACTTAGGATGAGCTGCGCGGAGCGTGCATTCACATATTTCGCTCACTTCTTTCTTTGAACACTCTTCGTGTGTCAAAACAATGCCTGTGTGTGTATCGCTTGTGCCGTCGTTTGTAAACGACGTCAATGAGCTGCGCGATGCATGCATATATATGTTTTGCTCTTTTCTTTCGATCGACACTCTTCGTACCCAGCTCATTGACGTCGTTTACAAATGATGGCACAAGCGATACACACACAGACATTGTGTTGACACACGAAGAGTGTTCAAAGAAAGAAGTGAGCGAAACATGTGCATGCACGCTCTGCGCAGCTCATCGTAAGTGTGAAGAGTATAACGAAGAAACAGCGACTCTGTGTGTGCAGAATCGCTATTGTGTATTAATGCGTTTCGCTCAACACAACGCGGGAAAAATATCTGTTATTTTTATGTAATATTTCTATCCCATATGAATAAAAATATCCCATAGTAATCTCTGCATAAAATTGTCAAAATTGGAAAATAAATCCGACAAAATGGGTACAAAATTGACATTTTTTGCAATAAATTTGACCCGAATTGACAGAGAAATAATAATAGGGTAATATTGTAATGAGTGGGCCACCCAACAGATTTCCATGAAATCAAAGTCGAAATGTCAAACAAGTATTTTTAACGGTTCCGCCTTATCAAAAAACCTTTATATAGCAAATCTCGAATATATCGCAAGTTTTTTTGAGTGGAGAAACCCATTGTTAAAAAAATAGTGGGAAAAAATCATTTTTATAAATAAGTAAATTTTGCCGAAGCCCGAAACAAGTTTTAAAATTGTATTTTTTAAGTAGAATTTTGTTTTTTTGGTTAGCTCAGGCCATGATATCGATCATTTTGGATTATTTCGAAGCAATTTTGATGTAAAATTTTTTTAGTGAGTCAATCAAAACGGCTTTAAATTTAATGAGTGGGCCATCCATTATTTTCTTCTCCGAAAACATCAAATTGAGATCGAAAACCCATGTATAGTGTAGTGTTGACTTTATCACACCGCAAAAACGTCATAAAATGCAATTAGTGTAAAATTTCCGTTCATCCGAATGATGAAAATATGACTACAATCTAATTCACCTGTAAATAATATGACTTCCAAAAGACGTGGATTTCGATGCTTCAAACGCCTAAACTATACATTAAAATAAATATAAACATTTGTATTTTATGACATTTACTTGATTTTTAGACATTTTTGGGATTTTTATCAGGTGGCTCACTCATTACTACAAAATTTTAGGGTGCCAAAAATCAATACTTTGGGAATTTTTTTTTTGGATAGATAACATAATACGGCCCCAAGGAACTTTTAGCTAATGTCAATAGCTATCCAATCATATATATTACTCTACATAAGTCCTGATAGAAAGTGGTGGCCCACTCATTACAACATTCCCCTAATAATAAAAGTCTTCTTTTTATAAATCGAATCCATGTATGGATGCCAAGTTGGAACATAAGATATAAATTAACAAAAATACTGAGCAATGGTAAAAACGGTATTGCTGGTACTTTAAAAGTTGCCCTAAAATCCAGAGGGTTGATCGCATAGACGGTGGCTTGTTTGCGTATGATGCATCATCATCTTGATATCGCAACACCAAAATACATATCGAAACCAATGTATATGCCATCAATGTGCCTGCATGTATAAATGGCATTTTGAAGTTATGAACAAGTTAAGTGAATTTCAATCAACAAATTTGTTTACCTATGCCGACCATATCAACCTACAATATAATTGGATTAAAACTGATTTTTCAGAACATCTTCATGGTAATGTAATGTGGTATGCTCACCAGTTGCTGTAAATTAAAAATCGTTACCATCGTAGCGGTTATGACCCTGACAAAAGTGTTGAATTCACCGGTGTTTTGGTACGTTTATTTACACGTTTAAATAGCGCATACAACAAACCATCCGTAGACAATGCGTACAAAATGCGAGCCAATGGAAACATTGCGACTAATAACAATGTGCACAAAGCAAACACAGCACCAACTGATACAATCCTGTCGATGTTGGAGAAAAGGAACAATTGAAGTTTTTTTTAAACCAATGTTTTGTTCTGAAATTATAGATTTTTCGCTTGCTTTTTTAGATCTTTCATTTCTGATCTGGCAAATGTTCTGCCAATACGTTTGATTGCAAAAATGTACCATTTAATCTCATGCCATCCAATTTGATCATAGACATGTGGCAAAGGAGCATCTGGATTCTGAAAAATGGATATTTTGATTGGAATAATAAGCAAATTCCCAAATGAGAAGATGAAATGAGACGCTAATCGCACCTGTGCATAATACGGCCACATCATGGTGAGAACGGTTG